GTAAAAAGATAATAAAAAGTCGAGAAATTTTGATTAGAAAATTAATAGTTTGTTTTTATAACCTGGTTTAATACTAGTTGTAACCTAAGAAGAAGGACAAGGCTTTAATTATTTCGGTAGAGTCTTTTTTTTTTTTCCATCTAAACATATGTCGTTCATTCATCATAATTCGATGGATGGATACAAGGGTAGAATGCGTTTTTGATACACCAAGCCGGCAGACCTAGTCATGCCAGAGTCCAAAGCCTTAAAAAAAACTTAAACTAACCCGAAACTAACCCAAGCTACTATGAATTCGACAAACATGGCAAAACCCTAAAGGAACCCAAGCCCAAAGCTACATACAAAGAACCAAGGAAGATCAACCAAGCAATCTCATAGAACAGGTAGGGTCCGATGCGCCAAAGAACAAGAGATGAGATGAAACCTATGAACCCAAACTCGTCCAAGCTCAAAAGATAAGAACAACACCGGGAGAGTTGGAAGCTTGACCAAAATAGCCCAAAGCAGAAGCACTAACATCATCACCGCCACTCCAAAGATACAAACAAACCGAATCAATTCAAGCTCAAAGAAAGAAGCCTTGACATCTGCAAAGGGAAAACGACAAAGAGGACCACCAACACTTTACCATCGGCCCTCGCCCGCCAACTTCAGCCATCTACAGACACAAAGTTGGTCACGTCCACGCAAGATAAAGGCTGAAGATCTATGCTTGATTCTACCCTAAATCCATAGGATCCAAAGGTTATACTTTAACTTTATATAAAATCTTTTGGTTACATATATAGACTCAATTTTTTTGTCAACGTACTCAACTTAAACAAAATTTTTGTGAAAGGTGTACGTACTACAGAAAACCGAACAGTACTACAGCGTATCCGTATTGTTAATCTAAAAGGCTAAAACCAAACAGTACATAGTTGTTCTCCTAATTAACTTTCAATTTATTGTCATTCTCCTCATTTCTTCTTACGGAATCGACTTGCCAACATTGTTTTTGGTACTTAAATCGTATAAACAACAAATGATTAACAATCGGATTTGTAAATAACGAAAACCCTTATTTGGTATCGATCCAGAACGTCTTCAACTATAGGAGAGGGAATGGAGTTGAAATAACAAAAGTAACAATAAACCTTTTTTATATATCTATACACTTCACAATAAAACTGAATTTTAAAAATATGATATAAAATTATCTAACCACTTTTTAAAAAATATTTCTTATACTGCTATAAACAAACAACTTTAACAGAAAAATCCCACATACGTTGAAGACAACTCACAGCTTATTTGAGCTAAAAAATGCTATTCACTATCTTATAGTATATAATTAGTTTTCAACAATTTATTACACAAACTTTAGACTGGGAAAATACATGTTTCAAAAAAAAAAAAAAGACTGGGAAAATATATGCATGTACCGAACCATTGAACCAATATTGACTGCTGTAATCAGAATAATTTTTTTTGTTTTTGGTCAGACAACAGAAAATTTTAATGCATAAACAAAAAAAAAATTAAAATCCTAAAACCATTAAGAGCGTTACATTTTCTGATTGACGTATATAATCCCTTTCTCAAAAAAAAGGAAAAAGGGTGGGTAGGTATGCCACGAGTCAAACTTTAAAGGTGTAGATAGATGAAGAAGCTAAAGCTAATATTCAACATTCCCCTCCTCAGCTTTGTCATCCCTAAAATCTCACCAAATCCAACAGTTACACTATGCCAACAGTTGCAGCAAAAATAAAACATAATTTCAACTAAGAAATATTATACAAAGAAGTTTTGATTTTTCATACGAAAATATATATATAAAGAAGTTGCAAAACAAGTCTATGCATTTTTCTCTAGATTACGTAACAGTAGGTAGCACCATTACCATAATGGCTCGCTTTTGACAAAGCTACATTACTTCTTTTTCCTTTATAGAATTCATCTCCTTTTTCCTAGGCATAAATAATAAAATACAGTACATACATATAATCTCACAAACATTATATGGTCTTTTGAATATATAATATTAGAAGAAGAAGAAAAAAAAAACTGAAGTCTTTGTCGTCTGACTCAAATCCCTCACGCTTGTAACTTCAAAGCACCCGTGTTGGCAAGAAACACCTTGAAATGCACCCAAACCCACCACCTCCCCTTCTCTGCAATTTGAGTCAACATTTCCCTAATCAGTCTTTAACCTATTTATCTTATTAAACAAGAATGTCCAAAGAATACTAATGATATCCCGACGCTGAAGGATTTTGTATATACGTACCCTTTTGGATTTGACGTTGAGAAGCTGAGGGGACACTTTGTACAAGTCTTCGTCCACGGGTTTAGGCGCCTTCGTCCTCCGCCTCACCACCGGTGTAGGACAGCTCTTCGGCGCGTTCGACTCACGCGCGTCCGCATTGTAGTTGTGTTGGTCCTTAGAGCCGTTTCTCTTCGCCGCCGCCGGCTCCTGGCCGACCTTGGCCTGGAAAACATTTCACGGGAGCTTTGT